CACCCCGGGAACAAGCTGGGTGAGCCAGCCGTGCGCCGATCCTCACCAAAATCCCTCCTCCCGCGGCATCACTACGTGGCGATGCTCTCGGCTCCTATGGAACGTCAGGAAGCAGCTCTGCCCCTCCGTGGTGGCGCTTGGCCGAGGGCCCTCTCCCGCGGGAGCTGTGCATCCCTGGGTTCCTCTGGCTTATTCTCTCTTCCTTCTCCCTTCTTTTGTCTCCTCAGCTCAAAGCCCCACGGTGGCAGATCCCCTCCAGCAAGCCTACGCAGGCATGCAGCACTATGCAGGTCTCAGACTTTGCTTGGCACTTCTTCCCTCTCTCCCCTCGTTGCTCCTCATCCTTATTTTTCCGGGGGGTCAACATCACCTCGGGGATGAACCACGGGACTGGGGTAGCGTGCTTGGGCATGGATTAATGCGGCAAGCGTGGGGTGACGTACCCTGGCAGGAGCTCCAGGGCAGCGATGGGGGTGACGCTGATGCAGAGTGCCCTTCCCTCATCCCCGGCAACACAGATGAGCTCCCGGCGTGGCGTCCCATGCAAATCTTGGATGGAGAAAGTGAATTTTAATGCCTGCTGGGCTGAGAGGACTCCATGGGGGAGAGCTGGTGGCAGCACCCAGGAGAGGGGGTGAGGTTTGGGCGGTGGTGGAGAGCCGGCTTCATGTCGGGTCCTGCAGAAGTGCGAGCCTGCGGGTAGAGATGGCTGTGGAGGCACCAGGGCATCAGAAGTCTTCAGATGTTTGTCCCGTGGCTGAATCCAGTGGCTGGGGAGATGGGACACAGAGAGAAGGGAGCCAAAGCATCCCGTGGAAGTGCTTTGAGCCCAGCAGTCATTTAATTAGGAGCACTAAGAGTGATTTTCAGATGTTCAACAGAAAATTGAGTTTTGGATCCAAATTTGTTTTTTCTTTTCAACCAAAAGTGCTGGCTTTCCTCAACCTTGAGGCCGTATTACTGCTGCTACCAGTGCTCCTCCTGGGAGAGCTGTTCCCAGAGGGTTGGCGTGCTGGGAGGCCGGGGCCGTGCCGGCAGGGCTGGGACGGGCAGAGCCAGCAGCCCCAGGGCAGGAGAGGCACCTCCACCGAGCGTGGCAGTGGGCCTGTCCCCGGCCCTTCCCAGCGCTGTGGCAGGAGCGAGGTGGGTGCCGGCGTCTCAGCGCCTCGTTTCTCTCTTCCAGCAGCATCTCCCACCGCCTACGCGCCCATCAGCCAAGCCTTTCCCCAGCAAGCGCCCATCATCCCACAGCAGCAGCGAGAAGGTGAGGGGTTGGGGGGGGCACCACGCTGCGGGGCCGTCAGCTCCTCGCTCTCCCCACCGGGGTGACCCCCGCCTCGCGGCTGATGTGCGGCTGTCCTTTGTGTGTCACCCAGGTCCCGAAGGCTGTAACCTGTTTATTTATCACCTGCCCCAGGAGTTTGGAGATGCGGAGCTCACGCAGATGTTCTTGCCTTTCGGCAATGTCATCTCTGCCAAAGTCTTTGTGGACCGTGCCACCAACCAGAGTAAATGCTTTGGTAAGTCCCAGTGTGCGGCTCTCCCCGGTGTCCCACCTCGGGGCTCTGGCTCTCTCTGGTCTCCAGCTTGGAAATCTCCAGCTGCTGTCCAGCTCAGAAGGTTTGGCTCTCCCTGACATCCGCAGCCCAGGGTCTGGCTTGGGCAGCACCGATGGGTGACCAAAGCCACGTGGTGGCTGGAGCAACGCGGCTGGCTGTCCCATGGCCAAAGGGCAGTTTTTTGTCCTGCACTGTGCTGGGACAGAAGGACACACCCTCCTGCTGTCCCCTCTTATGCTGTCCCCCGTGTCCTCAGCCCAGCTGCCTGCGTGCCTGCCAGGGAGGGCTGGCCACTGCTTGCCACTGCCACATTTGCTCATGTGGCCAAGTGCCACTGTGCCACCAGCATGCTCTGGCCTGCAGACAGGTCACCATGGTGTCCCTGTAGCCCTCGTCACCTTGGTGGCCCCACAAATCCCATTACCTTGGTGTCTGCAGACCTCATCACCCTGAGGTCAATGTAGATCTGCTCACACCCCAGTGTCCCTGCAGACCTGCTCGCCTTCGTGTCCCCACAGACCTGCTTGCCTTGATGTGCCCATAGACCCCATCATCTTCATGTCCCCACTGACCTGCTTGCCTTGGTGTGCCCATAGACCCCATCATCTTCATGTCCCCACTGACCTGCTTGCCTTGGTGTGCCCATAGACCCCATCATCTTCATGTCCCCACAGAGCTGCTCGCCTTGGTGTCCCCACAGACCCCATCACCCTGGTGTCCCCACAGACCTGCTTGCCTTGATGTCCCCATAGACCCTGTCACCTCAGTGTCTGTGGAGGTCCCATCACCTCGGTGTCTTTGTAGACCCTGTGACCCAGGTGTCCCATGAGCCCCCAGACCCCATCCTGGTGTCCCCGCAGACCTGCTCGCTTGGTGTCCCCACAGACCCCATCACCTTGGTGTCCTTGCAGTCCCCATCATTGTGGTAGACCCTGTCACCCCAGTGTCCCCACAGATCCCATCACCTTAGTCTCCCCAGAGACCATTCCAGTGTCCCTGCTGACCTTGGTTTCCCTGAAGATGCCATCAGCCCATCACCGGAGCTGTGCTGTTACCCCACCATCGCCCTCTCCCAGCCCCTAAAGCTGGGGCTCCACCCGAGGCTGCCCGCAGGAGCATCCCACGGGACTTCCGTGCCTTGGTTGAAGTAAAGCAGCAACCTGTGATGTTTACAGTGACAAACTCCTCTGTCACCTTGTCCCTCGCCCCCAGGTTTCGTCAGTTTTGACAATCCGACGAGCGCTCAGGCAGCCATTCAGGCCATGAACGGCTTCCAGATCGGCATGAAGAGGCTAAAAGTCCAGCTAAAGCGGCCGAAAGATGCCAACAGACCCTACTGACCCCTGATCACCCTGGCCCTACGGAGAGGTACGGGGGGGCTGAGGGGGCTGGCCCTGCTGCACCCCTGCAGTGCCCAGGGGCACCTGGCAGTGGGGCTGGGCTCACCCGAAGCGTCGCCGGTGCTGTGATTTCTCCAGAAAATGTCCTCGCGCGTGTAGGGGTCTCTGTGCCCGGGGCCGTCTCTGCGTGGTTCAGACGGGGATTCGGGTCCTTCCCTCAGTCTGTCCCTCGCTCCGTCCCCCGGGACATGGCCTCACAGCCCCTTTGCTGTTTCGCAGGTCGGGCGTCCCGTGGTGTCTGACGACTTTCCCCTTCCCCAAGTGCAGTATCCAAACCCGTAACTCTCTTTCTTTGCAACACATCCCGGAGGAGGAAGAGGAGGAGGAGGAGGAAGAAGAGGAGGAGGAGGAGGTGGTGATGGAGGAAATGGCAAAGAGGAGAGCCATTCTGGTCGTAGCTTTTCTTTTCTTTTTCTGATTTTTTTTTTTCCAAAACTGGTCTTGTTTCTTACTT